CCACTTTCCAGTTCCCACATCTCCCCTCCCCGGGACCACGCAGAAAGCTCAGGCTGAGCTGCCAGATCCCGCCCCCACCCCCGGGCTTCTTTGCTGCAGCCTGGTCAGGATCCCATCCGCAGATTGTCCGCTCCAGGAGCACTGGGTGCTGTGTCCTCCGCTCCATGCTCAGGGCTTGGTGAAGAGAAGGTTACATTCATGAAATGGTGATTTCATGCAGCCCATCCCACGCACCTCTCCAGGGAGCACTGTCCTCCTTGGCATCAGCCCACCCGCTGCTCCCCACGGCCCACCCTGTGGGAGCTGAAGGCCAGGAGGATCCTCCGGCATGGCTGTGAGTTGACCACACTGGCCCACTTTCTCACTCCTCTGCCGTGTTCTCTTGCGTGCCCAGTGTTCATGCATCTGCCAAGATCACCCATCCCCAGCACATCCCCCTTCCCTGTGGACAGACTCCTGACGTCAGCCCAACAGGGCACACACACACACACACGCACACACAGCCTCTCATTTCTCCCATCTCTCTTGGAGTCTCACGGTGCTTTGTGTCACTGAAGAAACTTGCAATGGCCTACCTTGGTCTCAGGCTGTTGGAGTCTCCCTGCAATTTTTTTTTAAAAGATTTATTTATTTATTTGAAAGTCTGAGTTACACAGAGAGAGAAGGAGAGACAGAGAGGGAGAGAGGTCTTCCATCCGCTGGTTCACTCCCCAATTGTCCACAATGGCTGGAGCTATGCCAATCCAAAGCCAGGAGACAGGAGCTTCACCTGGGTCTCCCATGCAGGTGCAGGGGCCCAACCATTTGGGCCATCTTCTACGGCTTTCCCAGTAGCAGAGAGCTGGATCAGAAGAGGAGCAGCTGGGACTTGAACTGAGCCCATATGCGATGCTGGCACTGCTGAAGGCGGCTTTACCCACTATGCCACAGTGCCAGCTCCTCCATTCGATTTTAAAAACGCTGGGGTGAGTATTTGGTGTGGCAGTTAAGCCACTGCTTGGGACACCCTTGTCCCATATCAGGATGTCTGGTTTGAGTCTCAGTTCCTTCGTTTCCCAACCAGCTCCCATCTAATGTGTGCCTTAGGAGGCAGCAGCCGATGGCCTGAGGGTTTGGGTCCGTGCCATCCTCATAGGCCCAGCTGGAGTTCCAGGCTCTTGGCTTCAGCTTACGCAACCCTGGCTTTTGTGGGCATTTGGGGTGATGGGTGTGAACCTGTGGATGGAAGATCCTCTCCTTCTCTGGTTTTCCCTCCCTCTCTGTCTTTCAAATAAGTAAATAAATATATTTTTTTCAAGTTTTAAGATAAAAGTACTAAAGGAGCCATCACTGGCTGCGTGCAGGCTCCCGTGGTACAGGTGTGACTGTCCCAACAGCGAGGCCGACAGGCAGGCAAGGAGGCTGCAGCAAGCATGAAGAATACAACTGTGGAAGCATGGGGGGCTTAGAGGGGCAGCGCAGAGGGGAGCCACTGGCTCGCGGCAGGGAGGACCAAGAGGATGTGATTGGAAGGATGAGCAAAATGTACAGTCGCCAGCGAGGAGGGGAGGGGTGTTCCAGGCACAGTGACCGGCACCGTGCTGGGCCATGGCCTGTCGCAGCACCAGACCGTCCTAGTTAGAGCCCTGAGTTCTAGAACCCTGGCCTAGCTGCTCACTGTGGGTCATGAGCCATTGCATTTCTGTCATCCCTCGCTATCTGGAGGGGACTGGGTCCAGGACTGTCCCACAGATAGTGAAATGCACAGATGTTTGAGTCCCTGGATGTAGCATGGTGTGGTGAGGCAGGTGTCACCACACAGTGGGCTGGACTGTTGCCTGCAATGCCAACATCCCACATCAGAGGGCCAGATTAAGGCCCGGCTGCTCCACTTCTCATCCAGATCCCTGCTAATGCGCCTGGAAAAGCCATGGAGGCTGAAGCATTTGGACCTCTGTCAACCAAGTGGGAGATGCAGGTGGAATTCTGGGTTCCTGGCTTTGGACTAGATAAGACCTGGTTATTGCAGACATTTGGGGGGTGAACCTCTGTCATTGTGCCTTTCTATTAAATAAATAAAGACTGATTTGTTTATTTGGAAAGCAGAGTGACGGAGAGGCAGAGGCAGAGAGAGAGAGAGATTTTAACCCATAGCTGGCTGAATCTTTGGCTGTAGAACACGTGGATATGGAGAGCTGACTGATCCAATCTCATGAGGTTCTTGTTGCAGTGGACAGAAGGTCCCATGTGACCACTTGCGCAGGGCAGGTGCTGCAGCCCGGCTGGCCGTAGGTTCTAAGCAGGGGCCATGTCTGGCTGAGTCCTGCACCTCAGAGACCAGCATGGAGCAGGCGCCCACTCCTGCCCCCCACCATAGAGCCTCATCCATGACCTGGCTCCTGAGGTCAGAGGGTGTCAGGAGAAAGCCACACTTGACCCTGGACTCCGGGTGTGATTTGTGCTTCTGCTTTTTTTTGTTGTTGTTGTTTGTGTTTTTTTGTTTGTTTGTTTTGTTTTTGACAGGCAGAGTGGACAGTGAGAGAGAGAGACAGAGAGAAAGGTCTTCCTTTGCCGTTGGTTCACCCTCCAATGGCTGCTGCGGCCTGCGCGCTGCGGCCGGTGCACCGCGCTGATCCGAAAGCAGGAGCCAGGTGCTTTTCCTGGTCTCCCATGGGGTGCAGGGCCCAAGCACCTGGGCCATCCTCCACTGCACTCCCTGGCCACAGCAGAGAGCTGGCCTGGAAGAGGGGCAACCGGGACAGAATCCGGCGCCCCGACCGGGACTAGAACCCGGTATGCCAGCACCGCAAGGCGGAGGATTAGCCTAGTGAGCCGCGGCGCCGGCCTGTGCTTCTGCTTTTCAGCAGCTTTTGTTATCGACTGCCCCATGCCCCAGCAAAGGGAAGGCCTGGGCAATTAGGTAGGTGAGAAAGCTGGGAGAGGGGCCGGCGCTGAAGCCGAGCCGGTGAAGCCACGGCCTGTAATGCCAGCCTCCCACATGGGCACCACGTGACGTCCCAGCTGCTCTACTTCCAATCCAGCTCCCCGCTGATGTGCCTGGGAAAAAGCAGAGGAAGGTGGTCCAAATGCTTGGGCCCCTGCACCCACATGGGAGACCCGGTTGGAGTTCCAAGCTCCAGGCTTTGGTCTGACCCAGCCCCAGCTACTGCAGCCATCTGGGGAGTGAACCAGCAGATGAAATCCATCTCTCTCCCTCTCTCTCTCCTGAGTCCCCTCAAGGATGCTGTGATCTGAGTTCGTAAGAAAGTTATTGTATTATTTTGTTATTTTAGATTTATTTATTTATTTAAAAGCAGAGCAACAGGGGGAGAGAGAGAGAGAGAGAAAGCTCCCATCCACTGGTTCACACTCCCTAAATGACTGCAACAGGTAGGGCAAAGTCGGGCTGAAGCCAGAATCTGCGAACTCATCCGGGTCTCCCGGTGGGTGGCAGGGACTCAGATACCAAGCCGTCACCTGCTCCTCGCAGGGTGTGTATCAGCAGGAATCAGGATCAGAGCGGGGACTCAAAGCCACGCACTCCGACAGAGGACGCCGGGGTCCCCCAAGCTGCAGCTTAACTGCTGTGCCGAATGCTCACCACTAAACCTCTTTTTATATTAATAACATTAT